ACCGAAGTAGTGGTCTGAACAAACCCCAGGAGCCATTTTGTGTTCACAAAAACTCTGTCCAGACGAACCAGGGTTGGGCTGTCACGCTTGTTCAACCAGGTGACCTGCCTGTTAATGATATCCACCTCGTCTAGGCCGTTCTCCCGGATCCACCCATTGAACAACTCCATCATAGACCAGTTGATACGACCACAAGACTTTTCATGCTCAGAGCGGTACATGTTGAAATCCCCCACAACCATCCAAGGCTCCGAAATTGTGTCGACAATAGAACTAACCGTCTCAATAAAGAGAGAGCGCTCATGGTCATGGCAGGGAGCATACACACTCGTAAGCAAGAATGATTCATGGCTAGAAGCGGAGACCAGCCGAATGGTGATATGAAACCTGTGAGCAGCCACAAAATGCCCAGAGACAATAGCAGAATCCCATGCCACCAAGAGACCACCAAACGAACCAGTGGAAGGGACGAACACATGATCATCAAGGTAGGCCGGAAGGAAAGCACCCATCTTTCTCCTGGGTATAGATTCCAGCTTGGTTTCCTGCAAACAAACCACACTAGGACGACAAGAGGTTATCACGTTATGAACCAAATAACACTTGTACTCATCACCGAGGCCTCTAACATTCCAGTCTAGTAATTTCATTGATAAACAAGCATGACAGAAGCCCGAAAGAGCAGGAGAACAGTTCATGGTAGGAAATAATCCTTAAAGAGCAGAGGAGCATAAGGCTTGCTAGTCTTACACAGGAAAGCCCCAGAAAGGCGGTAACCATGGAGCTAATGCAGTACAACCTGAAGAAGATATGCAGATAACCCGGAAGGGGTGGAACATGCATACTACAATGACGACATGCAACTACAGAACCATGCGGAGGAAGTACATGGCAGAGAAACATAAAAGGCTGAGCAAGAGACAGCCTAGGCCTACACATCTTGAGCATTGCCGTCGCCCACAGAAGAAGCAGAAGAGATATCGATCGGGAAGGACCTAGCAGCCCCAACAGCAGCGACAGTGTCATGCTGAGCTAGGGCATGGGAGAGGATGGCATTAGCGTTGAGATCGCAGCATTTAGCCAACTGCTTGAGCTTGCCCCTAGTCAGAGGTCTTGGAGTGGCGGAGAGGGGGAGCTCCAGGAGGCCAGCAATCGCCGAAACCTTAGACTTCTTGCGACGGCCGCCAGGGGAAGCAGAACCAGAGCTGGAAGAGCAGCCCGCTGCCTTGGCCTTCCTCTTAGACGCCCGCTCGACGGATCCAACCCGCTCCCCGTTGCACAACCGTAGAATCCTAGCGCTGCAGCGTGGAGAAGGGGGGAGCGCGACGGCCGACCGGCTTGACCCGGCGCCCCATGCTTCACCTTGCATCGGTGGCAGCATGTCCGAGGAAGCCGGAGCCAGAGCTTCGCAGGCGAAGGGTGGAGGCGTGGCCACCAGATCCAGAGCCGCCTCCTCCGAGGCAGGAGCCAGCCGCGACGAGCCAGCTGCTGCGGATCCTGGATCCAGCAGCTACAGCGTAGGCGGGAAGGGAAGTAGGTCACCCACGCCAGGCTCGAGAGGCGGTGCCCGACAGCTGCAGAAGGCCGCCGCCACCTGAGTGGGGAGCAACGCACATGCCCCGTGCCTGAGATCGGTGGCCACCATAGGCGAGAGATGACCGCAAGGCAGCATGCCCTCGCCGTTAGGGGGAGATGCTTGATGGGCCTGGAGCAGATGGCCCGGGTGGTGAGAACCAGGTGGGCCTGGACACGAGCCTGTGTTGAGTAGTAGGCGTCCCCCGGCAGGACCGTAGCTTCTCCAAAGAAGAGAAGCGGGCCTGCAGCAGGCAAAAGCCCAGCGGGCACGACGGGCTTGGGCGGGTGTCTGCTCTCCACAGAAGGCAGCAGAGGCAGGGTACGAGCACAAGCCCTGCCGTCACCCGCCTCTGGCCAGAATTTGAACAGCAAGGAACGGCAGCTTTCCCGCACAAGCAGCTCGGATCATAGGTCGGACGACGGAAAGTAGCCATCGTCCACCGCCATCGCACGCAGGGGGATGATCCTAGCAGCAGTATGGCAGTGGCTGAGCTCGAGCTTGAAGGAGAAGGCCATGGCGTTGGGGTCGAAGGAGACGATGAGGCGAGGCTTGTGGGCATCCACCGCTAGCAGAACGGAGCAAAGACAACCCCGGTGCTCATCTTCATGCGCGATTTGTTCGGCAGTGGGGAGGTAGAAGGGGGCACACTTGATGAACTTAGGCTTGACGGAGAGCTGGAGCATGGCCATAAGGTCCCCAACATTGGTGATGAGCGGGTAAAGGAAGGCCCGATATGCCCGTTCATCACCAACGTAGAACGGGCAACATCCCAGATTTCATTGATGAGGACGTCGGCATACTCCCTAGCGCCACCCACCTGGTGGAAGGCGAGGTGGTGCGGAATGTGCTGGAGAGCTTCAACCTTGACAAGCACGAAGATACTCAAGAACTCGCTGCCGTAGAGGCCGTCGTGCTCCACCCGCAAGATGCTAGCGAAGCCAGCGACGGATGCAACAATGCCACGCCTGTTCCAGAGCTCCAGAGGAAGCTTCTCCAGCGAGAGGTTGACGACATGCTTGAAGGAGAAGGAGAAAGCATTGCCCCCCTTGTTGTGCGGCAGGATACGCACAGAGCGATGGCTAACGTACAACATGCTCGCACGAAGGGCAGCAACCTGCTCCTCCTCGCGCTGGAACACGACGAAGACGGTGCCCATCGTAGAACCCGCGAAGTGCACGACAGAGATGCCCAGTCACTGCAGGAAGACTCGCTTGAGCCAGGGGAGAAAGCTGGGCCGGGGTGGGGAGATGTTGACAAGGCAGACAAGAGTGTTTGGTCGGGAACCATGGGGTAGTGAACGTCGAGCGAGGTGGGGCGGCCGCGAACCACGGGCTCCATAGGAGCGACGGGAGAGGAAGGCAAGGAGCTGGTGTGCGGAGGAG